TATCCTGAGAACAGATCCACGAAAATCAGCAATTCGGTGTTGCCGTTTAAAGATCTAGGCAGCGAAGGTATATGATCCATGGCAATGCTCTGAAAAGCGTACATTGCCCGAAGGTTACCAGGCGACTCGCCCTGGATCCGAGGTCTTCCTTTACCGGTCTCACAGTCGACGCATTCCCCTACATATCGTTGTACACTCCGATACAGACCTCTCCAGTGGAAGTGATCACGGATCCGATCATAGGTGCGGCCGATCCCTTGGTGACCGCCCTGTAGACTCGTGTGATAGTGATGTAGAATGTCTTGTTGAAGCGTCTCAGGTATCACTAGTCGCATCAGCTTGTCTCGATCTGCGGCCGCCTCTTTAGATGTCGGACAGTAGAAGAGTAAATCCTGCTGATCCACTTCGTAATTCATGGCGATGGATCCGAGCATTTTAGCCTCTTCTTGTGTCAGATCTCGGATTTCTCCGATCAGATACTTCTTCAAGCCCATAATCCACGACTCCTCGTCCTGCCTTTGTCGGATCCGCTCGATCCGTAACTCTCTCACGACTTCCTCTCGTAAGGAGTCTGGATCAGATCCCACACGTACCCCCGATCTAGCCTTAGATCGGGTCGTCACCGCTGATACCCGTACGACCTCTTCTTCAACATCTCATGCAACCTATTTAAAGTTAGGAGATTCTGGATCACCACCTCAGACTCTATCTCGATCCCGCATTGCCGCTGTAGAGCAGCACTTGCTAGGCTGTCAGCACTCCCATTCCAGTCCCGTTTAACGTGCAACAGTTCATGATCTGGCCATGTACGTAGTCGATCCAAGGCTCGCTGACGTAACAGTGTCAGACCTGGCGCTTTACAATCGATCTCTCCTCGTACTTGTCGGATCACCAGGTTTGAGTCTCCGCAGATTACCAGACGCTGTGGATCCAGACCTTCCAACCGATCTAGACATAGTAACAAACCATGGTACTCTGCCTCATTCACCGTCAAGCCTTCGGCATACCCTG